AAAAAAAAAAAAAAACTAAAACAGAAGAAGAAATAAACAAAGAAACAAAGAAAGATGGAAGTTGATCCTGTTTTAATATGAGGGGCTAACTGGCTAAGTATTGCAAAAACAAATGGGGTTGCTTGACATGTTTTTCTTAAGAAGAGAGTAAAGAACACGTAATTGACAAACTGTGGCCGTGAACTGATATTATTGCTGGGCAACTGACTCAGCGGCATTCTTATCTTTATGCTCATTTTTTTCCTTGCAAGGGAAAAGGGTTTAATTACGAAAACTATTCTCATGATTTAGCCTGATAACACAAAAGGCCATCTGTCTTTCAAACTTACACATACACGGCTTAGATTTTAATTTCTGTTTTACAAATCGCACACTTAAGAAGGGAGTATATTTGCAAGTAAACACAACAGAATTTTGGAACTCTGAGGAGTTGCTTGAAATTTTGAAAGATAACTGGTATTTTTTTGTAAGCTAAACATGAGGGAAGGTTTTGGCTCCCTGCGGGCCGTAAAAAAAAAAAAAAAAAAGTAAAAAAACTGTCTTTGATGGAGCCTTTCAGCTAAGCAAGTGATATATTTCTGAATTTCTTTTATGACTGATGAAACTAGAAGAAGTGAGGACAAAATGTATCAACATAGATATGGCATACTTGTAGATTTTAACAAATTTATCTACATACGTATTTTTCATACACTAATAGACTAAGAAAAAAATTCCAAACGCACAAGCGTTGAAATCCAAAGCAAACACTTTTTACATGTTAGTTCTTTCCCTTTTTTTCAGATTTTGCATTTAGTATAAAAGACGATTTTGATACTTGAAGCACTCTGTGTACCTGGTTCAGGCAAGGCAGCCGAGAGTCACAGTAATATTGATCTATTATTATGGGATTGGAAACATTGTACATCCATATGTCCTGAAAAGTAACTTTCCTTACAAAACCACTGCCTCCCTGTCAATTTAGATGAGAGAGAGGGAGAGAGAAAACAAGGAGTAAAAAAAAGGGGTAATTAGATATACAAGCCTTGTAGTTTAGCATAACAACAAAACTTCTAGAACTGCCTCCCACTGGTTGATTGAAGTTACTCATCTATATATTGTTCAACATAAATTGTTCTTGCATCTCCTAACATTGCCATGCATGCATTATTATTCCGCTCACGAATTTTCAAGACTATCTTAAATGTGAAAAAAATAAATAATTCCGTTTAGATGAATCATAAAATGAATATTCTTTCATATTTTACTTTTATCTTAATATTATTTTTATATCTTCGTCAATATATTTATATTTTCAAAACTATCCTAAATGTGGAAAAATAGTACTTCCAGTTTAAATGAATTCTTAAATGATGAGTCTTTCGTATTTCACTTTTACCTTAATATTATTTTTATATCGTTGTTAATATTTTTATATAGTTTGTTTCTCTACTTTTGAGAAGTGATTTGAAAATTTTAATTTATGAATGATTTTATAAATTAGGTTGGATAATGACAACAAATTTAAAGTAAATGTACTATTAATATTTACTTAATAATATTACTTAATTGATTTTAGTTGAAAATATATATTTTCTAATAACTAAACTTATTTTGAAATTCAAGATTTTAAATCGAGTTTTATTTATTTTATTTTATTTTTATGATTACTCTATTTTTATTTATATTACAATTAAAGCAAATGGTAGATTAATTTATGTAACACATATTATCGAACGCTTATACTACACAGATAAACATAAATCATATTATACAGATTATTTATAAATCATATTATGCAGATTGTTTTAGTGATTAATTTTAAAAAATACTTCTATTAAGATTATATATTTTCACTTAATGAATAAATATTTTAAGATAAATTTGACATTTTGTATGTTGAAACTTATTTTTGATTCAATTATTGTTAAAGTTGATATGCATGTTCACTAAAATGTTCCACTTTAATTTTTAATACTTTAACAAAATATCTCTGTAGAAAACTATATGATATGTAGAGATGATGTGCGTCATATATTTTACACTTATGAAATAAAACATATTTTATTTAAAAAAATATTAAAATAATATTTTCTCTTACATTTAAAAACTACCTTTTCCGTAAATTTTATCTATTTCTTTCTTTCCAATTTGCATATTTGTTTAGATAATTTTACTAAATTAAAATGAAAAAAAAAAATATGATTGAAAATAACTATCGTAACTATTAATATTTGTAACTCCCTAAAAATTGTGACAAATGCGGAGAAAGTCATGGATGGAGAGGACTGTTGCGTATAGCATAAGGCATTGTTGGCAATTCAATATTTTCAAGAAACAACTCTCTCTTTTTAAAGATATAGTAAAGTAATAATTTAAAAAGTGAACTTCATCTCATTTCAACTATTATAGTAATTTAAAACCTATAGTGAAAAAATGTATAAAACTAAAAAAAGGGGGTTGTTTATTACATAAAAATTATATTTTTACATTTAAAAAATTGATTATTAACGTATCAACTTGTTACATATGTTATATACTACAATGAGTTTTTACTAATTTTGAAAATGTCATTGAACATTCATGAGTTGAATCCATTCAACTGTAATTAATATTATCAATATATATTAGATTAGAGTTGATAATGTTGATTTGTAACTCATTTTCCTGCATTTAATTAAAAAGATTAATACATTCTGAACGTTGAAAATAGATTACAACAATAACTATTTATCACAAATCAAATCATCATGTATATGACGTTAAATTGGAATGATTAATTTGTACTGAAATGATAGAAAGTCCTAAATTATAGTTTCATGTTTCAAAATTTGAAAATTGATAACTCTTCATTACATGTAATTTATTTATAACTATAGAACATAGATATGAGTAAACATTTGAAGACGTAGTGATGAAAGTAAACATTGATGAAGTTATTGATGAAGTTATTCTATACAGATGATGAAAATAAACATTTTACAACTATTTATCATAAATTAAGATTTGTAGATGATGAAGAATAATAGGATGAGATTAATATAAAATTTATATGAATGAAAAATAATTGTATATGATGAAGATAAAAGGAAAGAGTTGAGGACAACTAATTTATTAAAAGAAAAAAGAGAGAGAGAAGAAAAAAGATAGGTGTGTAGTTGTACTCTCATTCTCCAGAATGTTTAAATGTTTTAATTAAATGTGGTTGGACAAGTGAGAAATCATCATTATCAACTAGAATTTAAAATTATAATATTACATTTTGAAGAATCACAGCTAAGTTTTAAGAGAAGATATTATTTCTAATTTTTGTTATGATGAAACGTACAGAAGGAACTCATTTATAGTACTCATTCGGTGAACTAAAAGACGTCGTTCTAAACAGGTGAAACAACGTCGTTGCACTAAAAACCCAGCTGAGACAAAAACGCGAGCTATTATTTACAGAGTTGCTACGCGATTTTATTAAACCAATCCAATACTTCAAAACAGTTAAAAGCAGTAAAAGCAGGTATAACTACTCCAAGGAATAAGATCTTCTGCTTCTGCTGTTTCTTCACCCCCTCCTCAAGTTGGAGTGTGGTGGAGCGCATAAACACCCAACTTGCACAACAAACGACGAAAGATAGCAGCAGGGAGCAGTTTTGTGAAGAAATCGGCGAGTTGAGCAGAAGAATGCACATAGGTGGGGTTAATGAAGCCTGCCTTGTATTTATCTCGAACTATGTGACAATCGATCTCCAAGTGCTTGGTCCGCTCATGGAAGACCGGATTTGCGGTGATGTGCATAGCAGCACGATTATCACACCAGAGTTCAATTGGTAAAGGAGGATGCAGCTGAAACTCTTTAGCCAAAGAAAAAATCCACTGTAGTTCACAAACCGTGGTCCCCATCGATCTGTACTCTGCCTCTGCCGAAGACCGAGCAACTGTTACCTGTTTTTTGCTTTTCCAAGAAATGAGATTGTCACCAAGAAAGACACAGTAACCAGTAATGGATCTTCGAGTATCTTTGCAAGTAGCCCAATCGGCATCACAATATGCATTGAGGATAGGCTGTGATTTGGAGCTGAAGAACAAACCAAGTTTGATGGTGCCTTTGAGGTACTTAAGAACTGAGACTGCTGCATCCCAATGCTCAGTAAAAGGGCTATTGACAAATTGACTTAATTGCTGAACCACATAACTCACATCCGGCCTAGTCATATTGAGATAGAGAAGCCTTCCAATGAGCCTTCTATATTTTTCTGGTTCAGACATTGGTTGTCCATCACAGCCTGTGAGCCTTAGACCTTGTGGTAATGGAGTGACAGCTTCTTTGCATTCCTCTAGTCCCATGTCCTTAAGCAAATCCAGAATATATTTTCTTTGAGAGAGATGAATACCACTCTCAGTTCTGGAGATTTCAACACCAAGGAAGTACTTTGCAGCCCCTAAATCCTTAATAGTGAAAAGATCATGCAAGTATTCCTTCAAAGCCATTATCTGTGGGAGATGAGAGCCCATAAGCAGAACATCATCGACATAAACTAGCATGGCAAGGAAGTGGCCATCCTTGTGCTGTGTGAACAAGCAGTGATCTTGTGGTGATTGTACCAGGCCAAACTTCAGTAACCTTTTGGATAATTCACAGTTCCATTCTCTAGAAGCTTGCTTCAACCCATATAGGCTCTTAACAAGCTTGCAAACCTGGCCTTCCTTGCCTTTATTGTACCCTTGAGGCAGCTTCATGTAAACTTCCTCTGATAAAATCCCATGCAAAAAGGCATTGTTCACATCAAGTTGCCAAATGGTCCATCCTTGGATAGCTGCCAATGCCAAGAACATTCTTACTGTTACTAGCTTAGCTACTGGGGAAAAGACATCAAAATAGTCAACTCCAGCTACTTGAGTGAAACCCTTTGCTACCAACCTTGCCTTGTATCTTTCTACTGTCCCATCTGCCCTTCTTTTAATCTTATATACCCATTTCGAGCCTATGGCTTTCTTCCCAGGTGGTAGATATGTCAGTTCCCATGTCTGGTTGTCCTCCAAAGCCTTAAGTTCAAGATCCATTGCCTCAACCCACCTTTTATCCTTTCTGGCCTGCTCAAAATAGGTAGGCTCTTGTCCTGTGGTTATGTTTACAGAAAAGCAGCTTCATCTTCATCATTTTGCAGTGCATTCATTCCAGCACTGTCACATATGTAATCCTTCATCCATGCAGGTTGCCTTCTAATCCTTTTCCCAGTTTGAGTTTGTGGAGTTGCATCTGGAGTAACCTTTTGTGGTGTGGACCCCTCATCACTCTCAGTGTCAGTCATGTCTGGCACTAGTGGCAAAGATCTGTTATCACTACTGTCACCTTGAATATCTTTGTAAGGAAAATTTTCAGCAGCAAATACCACATCTCTGGAGATAAACCTCCTGCCATCATCTATATCCAATAAAATATACCCTTTGCAACCTCTTGCATAACCTAGGAATGCACATCTGTGTGACCTAGGTCCCAGTTTTCCTTTGTTAGGATTGGTATTAGCTGCATAAACCAGACAACCAAATGGTTTCAACCTGCTATAATCTGGTGGCTCTTTGTAGACCCTCTCAAATGGTGTTTCCCAATTCAAAGCTACACTAGGTAGTCTGTTAATAGTGTGCACTGCTGTCAACACTGCATATGGCCAATATTTCATATTCATGTTTGACTGAAACATCAGCCCTCTTGCTACTTCAAGAATTTGTTTGTGCCTTCTTTCAACAACGCCATTTTGTTGTGGTGTGTACACACAACTTCTCTGATGTACAATTCCATAATCATCAAACATCCTTTGACACTCTTGACTCAAAAATTCCTGTCCATTATCACTTCTAATTTGCTTCACTGTTTTCCCAAACTGAGTTTGAATCATGGTTATGAATTTCTTCAGCAGACTTGATGTCTCTCCCTTTGATCCCATAAGGAAAACCCAAATGCTTCTGTTGTAGTCATCCACTATTGTAAGAAAATAGGGTGTGTTGAGCACTGAGCTTTTCCTACAAGGTCCCCAAATATCCACATGGATTAAGGTGAAGCATTCTGTGGTCTTAATGCTGCTATCAGGAAATGGCAGTCTGTGCTGCTTTGATTTAAAGCATATATCACATCTCTTCAAGTTGAACTCTCCTTGTGTGCTGCACATATTTTTGAGAAATGGCAGCTGTTTCATTACTCCATATGATGCATGCCCAAGTGTCTTGTGCCAGTCCATGAGTGATGCCTTACAACTTAAACTGATTTGCCCATCTCTGCCTTAAATCACCTGTTGCTATAACCTCTCCTGATTTCTCTCTTTGCAGACAACATCCCTTAGAAGTGAAGCTGCATTTCAAATGAGATGTAGTGCATACCTGAGTCACTGACAGGAGATTATACTTGAAAGATGGTACCAAGAGTACTCCATACAATATAAGATCATGTGATATTTGAACTTCTACAGTCTGTGTCACCATTTTGACTGCTCCATCATGCCATGTATACTGCTATAGGTGACTGTAGGGATGTCAGATTCCTCATTAAGGCTTGATTGACACACATGTGCTTACTTGCCCCTGTGTCGATCACCCAAGCATCTCCTCCAACTCATCATACATTGACAGGGCATAGTGTCTGTCATCCGTTTCAACATTAGTTGCAAAGTTAACATACTGTTCCTCCTCCTTATAGGGCTTTCCTTTGTCACTGTCATGTGGCTATCAGGCCCGTCTTAAGGGGGGTGGCAGCTGGTGCGACGCCCAAGGGCCCATGAGGCTAGGGGGCCCATGAGTATACTGTATATACATGTATAGTAGATGTATTGGCCAATTCAAGTAATAATTAATTTAACCTCTAAGCTCAATAACATCAACAGAATCATTGATCTTGATGTTGTTCTTGAAGATTTTGCATCAAAAAATGCTCGAAAGCAGATTTTTAAAAAGAACTGAAGCATAGCTTTATTTGAAGTATCCAAAATTTTACTATTGTTTTACCTTCTTAAATGTAATGCTTTTTTTATTGGCTAAATATACATGGTAAGTTATCTCTTATAAATAGTACTATATACTCCAATTGTTATATTCAATTTTTAATTAGATTGTCGGGCTCTTAGTGTCTTCCTTGCCCAAGGGCCCTCGAAATTGTTGAGACGGCCCTGGTGGTTGTCTTCCCAGTAACTTGGCAACCTCATGTGCCAAAGCTGTAATATCCCCCATTGAGCTAATTCCTGCACCTTGTTGCCTCCAAGGGCTTTCACTTTGTACCATATTCACTGCAGTTCTATATCTTTTATCCTTGTTCTCCTTGAACCATTCTGGAAATCCATGAATTTTGAAACATGTGCTTTTATCATGTCCATTTTTTTTTACAATGGTCACAGAACAATCTAGCCTTTTCTTCCTTAGTGAGCCTCTGTCCCTCTCTTCCTGTTTTTTTATTGTAGGCTTGTGGTTTAGTATGATTCTCCTTGTTTCCCCCATTGTACCTTACTGCCATAGCCACATTTGTGCTAATGTCTCCTGAAGTTGATTGCACCAATCTCTGCCTTTCTGCTGATAAAACCATGGAGTAGGCCTTGTTCACTGATGGCAAAGGATCCATCAGTAGCAGCTGATTCTTCACATGATCAAAACTTTCATTCAGACCCATCAAAAATTGCATTAATCTTGTTTGCATATGTTGCTCCACAACTGCCTTTCCAATTTCACATTTGCAAGACAATTGAGGCATTAAATAGCTCAGTTCATCCCACATAGTCTTAAGCCTGTTAAAATAGACCATGACTGTCTCATTTCCTTGCTTAAGAGCAGAGATATCTCGTTGCAGCTGATAAATGAGGGGACCGTTGCTTTCCCCAAACCTTTGGCAGATTTCATCCCACAGCTCTTTAGCCGATTCAGCGCACATGAAAGCACCAACTATCTCCTTCGATAATGAGTTCATAATCCACGAAATAACAGTCCAATCTGCTTTCAAAATTTGGATCATTTACTTCAGGAATTTCAATAGATCCATTGATAAACCCTAGCTTTGTTTTAGCACCAAGAGCAATCATCATCGAACGCTTCCATGCCAGAAAATTCGATCCATTAAGCTGATGTGAAACGAGCTGCATACCTGGTTGATCGGAACTGCTTAAGAAAAGAGGATGATCTTCCCGCACTTCTGAGCTGCTTCCAGCTCGTAAGTTGAGCAATGGCCAAGTTTCATTATACCGATTGTTCGCCATTAGAGAGGACTCAGAGCTCCGCAGGATCGTCACTGCTCTGATGCCATGAAGAATCACAGCTAAGTTTTAAGAGAAGATATTAATTCTAATTTTTGTTATGATGAAACGTACAGAAGGAACTCATTTATAGTACTCATTCGGTGAACTAAACGACGTCGTTCTAAACAGGTGAAACGACGTCGTTGCACTAAAAACCCAGCTGAGACAAAAACGCGAGCTATTATTTACAGAGTTGCTACGCGATTTTATTAAACCAATCCAATACTTCAAAACAGTTAAAAGCAGTAAAAGCAGGTATAACTACTCCAAGGAATAAGATCTTCTGCTGTTTCTTCACATTTATATCCTTCAAACAATTAAATTTATTTATTTTTTTTCTGAGGATATTACAGCAATTCATATTTCAATTTAAATGTGGTTGGATGAGCTACAAATCATCATTATCAAATCTAATTTAAAATAAAAAATTACATTTATGTCTTTAAAAGTATCATCTTTTGAGGGAGGGTAGTATGGGCAATTCAAAATTTTCAAGAAATCTCTCATCCTTCTAAAAGAGTTATAGATAGATAGTATGGACAATTCAAAATGCTCAAGAAATCTCTCACCCCTTTTACGAGAGTTACAGATTTATTCATACACTAATGATGTTTTAATAATTCCAAAGATGATTCTAACTCACACACGCATATATACACATTAAAGATTACCTGCCATGTTTTGATCCTGACACCATTCTCAGTATCAAACAACACTGCCCCATCCACAATGACGTCTTTCACAGAAGCATATGAATTGTTTTTTCCCAAACTGCCAATGCTGAAAAGTAACCAAAACATCAACTACAGCTATTTTCAGGAATATGGTTGAGTATACACCGAATAACTATAACTAATACCTAATACCATGGCCAGGGCCACAGACGATATTCTTTATACGAATTCGCGAAGAATTGCTGACAATGGATATGCAGTCATCTCCTGCCACAAAATTAAGAAAAATGATTGAGGAAATTTAGCAAAGTTTAGTTCAGAAGGTGTATCAAATGAATGACTAGTCAGTCTTCATCATCATAGAAAAATAATACTGCCACTGATGTTTGGCCATCTCTTTTTCTTAAAAAATAAAAATAAAAATAAAAATAAAAAAAGAAACTCATAAACTTTCAAGGTTGCATTCACCAAAGAAGTCTGATTTTTCAGTAAACTCTTTTGCCATCAGAATGAGCATCAATGGTAATTTCAATCAGAAGTGGATTGTATATTACTTGTTATAGCTAAGCCAAAGACTGAAGTTCCAAAAATAATTATAGCTTCCCCATAAATGATTAGAAAAAAAGATTGTTTCATATGATTAGTATTAGTATATACCTTTTCTTAAAAGGGTAACACTAGGCTGTACCAATCCTATATATTTCTTTTTATTCTCTGCCCCCTTCAAGAATGTACACTATTTCTGATCGACACACCTGTGCCGATAACAGCATCCTTGAGTTCAACATGTGAAGACGTGCTTATGTGGACCCCATCCGTGTTAGGGCTATTACCAGGTGCCCTAACTGTGAGACCCGAAACAGAAACATGCATGCAGTTAGTAAAGGCCACATGCATCTGTTGACCGTTCACCAAGGAAACATCCCTCAGTTTCAACCTCTTGCACTTGTGGAAAGTAACAGCCTGCATTAAAATTTAAACATCAAGGAGCACTTTAAAAGCAGAAGAACATCTAACAAGTTTAGCAGGAAACATGTTTTTCTCAAGAATATAAGACAGCATAAACTTCAAGCGATACTAACCGTTGGCGCGTGAACACAAGGCTGCCAAAGAAAAAAAAAAA